AGCTAAACGTTCACACCCGAGGCTCCAGGGAGTATCTAGCTAGCTAGTTGTCTTTAAAATTAGCAAACGATAACACACAGAATACATGGGTTTTGATCTTATAGTTCCAAAGCCTCCTCGGCCATAGCTGTTCTGATCTCTCTGTAATTGAGAACAGCCTGAGATTTTCCATGCCTAAAAAATAAATTAGCAGCAAACGATGTCAGCTTAATCTGGACAGCTCGCCTTTCCTCAAGCTTGCAAAATACAGTAAGGGTTATCAATTTGCATCTGCATAGATAACAAATCTTACTACACTGCCAATGCTGAATCAACAAATCTCACTATGCTGCCAATTCTGAATCAACACAATTTAATCTTAGGAACACAATGATCCATCCAGCACACTCTAAAGCACAGTTAATTCCAACCCTTGTGCACCTCTGGCAACCCAACTGCAACATCAGGCTGCTGCATATATGGCTTGAGGACCTACTCCCTTTTTGTTTATGGGACAAAATTTACATAAGCAAAATCCTGATTTTGTTTAAAAAAATGATACAGAGCCAAACCTAAAATCAGAAAAAATGAACCATTCCAAGTTACAGCTGGGGATAATTCACGGTACCTTGTAAAAGTACCTCCTTCCGGGCTCCAATCCCTTCATGAGGCCATCGAAGACGAATCCCGGATCCCTCCAGGCGACGTTGCTGTTCGCCAGCCAATCGCACATGTGCTTCTGCTCGTACATGCTCACATACGTGCCCACCTCCTTCCACTCCTCATCCTCCTTCTGCAGCCCGTACCTGACGACCCTCTCCCTGCGGTTGCCGCACATGAACAGAACCCGCATCTCGTCAACGCCATCCACGAAAGCGAGGTGCACCTGCTTGGGGCTAGCGGGGTCGCCGACGCGTCGGCTGAGACGGCGACGCGGTGCTTGCCGTGGGGGAGCGGGTTCCGGCCGTGGTCGATGTGGTGGTAGGAGAGTTCGACGGTGGCGCTGGGGGCGCCCTCCTCGGCGACGACGGGTGCGAGTTGCCTAGTGAAGTAGAGGGCGAGCTCGGGGGCCTGGGTTGGGGCGGTGGTGTGGATCGGGACGGAGTGACGACGCGGATCGGGACCGGAGGGTTGAAGGGGGGGAACGAAATAGCAAGAGAAGGCACTGGCTTGCCGATATGCGGGTACAGGGGCGGGTAAGAAAGTCGATGGTGAGAAAAAAAATTGGCACGAGGGCGTCGACTGCCGGGCTGAATGGCAGGAACACGTAAGAAATCTTACGGTAGCTGTAAGACTTGACGTGCCCCACATGTGAATTAATAATAGACCATTAGATTAAAATATATCAACTGATTCAAGGGTCCATATGCAAGGTGGGTAGGAATCATCTGGGTAAGAGCTGTTTTTCAATTCCTTCGCTCTTTTATAATATAGATTTAGTCAAAGTTTAAACTGTTTGACTTCTAAAAAAACAAAGATTTTATTCTTTTATGGATGGAGGGAGTAATTGTTTACAAATGTAGGCTTAGAACCTTTCGAAGTTTTTTTTTCCAGAAAAATGCATAGGCTACGCTAGGAAATCTTTGTTTCCATTGTTTGAAAAAGATGACACCGACTGCTGCTACCGCGTGTCTTCGTTCTTTCTCTGGAGCCGTGAGCATCAGCAGCAGTACTGCAGTACTCGCTATGGAAAACGTGTGATCAAACTTTGCGACTGATTTATACAAATTAACAATATTTATATCTTCAATTAAATTTATTATGAAAATAGATCCAATGATTTATCTAACGATACTACTTATGTATTATAAATATTACTATTTTCTTATATATATTTGGTTAAAATTGAATTTATTTGATTTCTCGAAAAACGAGAACGACAATTATTTAGTGACGGAGCGAGTAGGCCCTATGCCGTAGCATTGTACACGGTGCCACAGCGCAGGTCGTTAGCCTGCATGCACAATGCATCTGTCTTTGGTTACCATTGTCTCCTATCGTCTTCTCGAGCGATGCAGCAACCTGTGTGTTAAAAGTTACTGCCCTATTGCAGCTGATGGCACCCCCAAACTACAGCAGAGAGAACCTGAATTTCTTGTCTTCCGCAGCACAAGACAAAGACCCTTCTTGCTCTGCCAGGTCCCAGGTCGGTTGGATAAAACCTCCAGGAGCCGCCATCTAACATTAGCTGTTACAGACCAAAGAATAATATTACTTTGACAGATCAGAGTTTTGGATCCAACCTTATTAATTTGTCTGTAGATGTCACTGTGTTTTGTGTTTGACTGTGACATGTTGTTTGTACTCAAGCTGACAAGCATTGTCTTCAGGTGGCAGTCCACAATAACAGAGCTGTAGAACCAAGTGAGTACACTAGGCCAGTAGGGTGTCCGTAGTCACCGTACCATGTTTGAGCTGTAGTTTTGCGTGGAAAGATAAACTGGTGGGTGGGTGGCAACTATGGAGGAATTACAGATCAGACGAGGTAGCAGAACTGGCCGGCTTCTGCATTCAGCAGTCTAACCGCTTTCTACTGAAAGTTGCTTTTGACATACTGTCCCCACATGATCACAAGTATCATAAGTAGAACTAAGTAGAACTTAATAATGTGGAAATCTAAGTCCTTCCAACTTCTCCAACGAATGTTTGATTGGTTCATATAAAAATGGCTTTGGCTCTGAATTCTTAACTGTAGTAGATTCTCTAGAGGATCTCAAACTCTTTTGAAAAACGTTTGGCTTCTTAACTGTAGTAGATTCTCTGTTGGAGGAGCTCAAACTCTTTTGGAAAATGTTTGGCTGAATAGTTGCTAAGTGGCAATACGGACAATTTTGAGACATGAAATGCTTAAAGATGGAGCATAATCCAAAGATGCCATCTTTTTTTTCCCTGGTCTGGTATAAAAACGGCTCTAACTCTAGATGCTTTTTTTGTGTGAAGGAGCTGGTTGGGGAGCCCTAATAATCTTCTACTTCTAGTGGTAGGAGAAAATATTTTCTAAATTGTGCATCTAACTGACAATCCATTTGCATATTCATATTACTTGCAACAAGATCTTACTCGGTTATATTTTAGCATATACAAGAAACCAAAAAAAAAAAGTGAGGCCCGCTTGTCGAACTAAAAAGTTTGGTGACAACACCACATTGTTTTGCATTATATATACCCACGATTTGGTATGACGAGATTTCTTCGCCAATCCGCCGGACCAAACTCGTACCGAACTTCATTTCCCCTCTTTACCATCGTAGACTCGCAGTACCACGAGATCATCGAATACACGTACGTACCCAGTACGCAGGGGCCAGGGACCAGGGACCCGACCGACCGTCGTGTACGTACGTGCAAGACAGCAAGAGGCTCGATAGGATCCCTTGCTTTCTTGTCCCCAACAGCTCGAGATCTGTCTTTTGCTGATTTGCAGATTTGTTCCTTTCAGAGTTTGCAACCCTTGGCTCTTTGTATTTGAAAAAAAAAAAGTTTCCTGTGCTCGAATAAGGCAACGGTAAATCCATTACGAGACACGCCGTTTCAGTTTAATTCATGTGCCGGCGTACGAGCGTTGTAAGCTCTTGGATGCTTGGCCGCGAAACGAAACGCACCGCTGTTGGTTTGCAATTTTGCATGATTGCGTTGCGCTGCAAGATCCGCTGGATAATGCAATCCGGCAAGAGCAAAAGTCTGCTAGACAGTCATGGCCCGGGTCAAATCCACATATTTTCTATAATATTTTTTTTTTGCGCATACTATAATATATTTATTTGGAGATGTAGTGATACAATAATTCAGGCTGGGGCAGCATGACATAAATGAAGCAAATAGGTAGATACTGAACGGGTGGAACAATATATTACAGTCTCACAGGTGGAAAAATATGTTACTGACAGTTCAGGATTGTGGATCAACACCCTCAGTCCCAGAAAGAAAGAGTGCAATTCTAGTTTTTTACTAAGTCAATCAATATTAAGTTTGACGAAACCTATACAGATAGATACAAGATACTAATGCTTATGATAGCGAATAAGTATAATAAATGTATTTGGAGAACATATGGTATTTTCTTAACTATAGAAATTTTGACTTACTCCAATCTACGATTGCACTCATTTTAGGAAGGAAAAAATAGTATTTATTTCTACGGTGACGTTTGGATTATATTCTGGCTAGCTGTTTCCAAGAGCAGTGGCATAAAACGGCATTCCACAGTGATAAAACTGTAGTAGCAAGTGAGCACACTAGAGTGTGATTACCATCGATCCTAACCACCAAACAACAAAAGGTAGTCCGGAAATTGGAGTGCACTCACAAAGATACAAAAAAATTCCCTAGTCACTGTAATGATCCTAGATCTTGAGCTAATATCTTGAACTAGGAAAGTAATAGCAGCACCCCTTTTACTGTGTTCTTGTTTCATGAAATACTTTGTACTATTCCGTACTCACTTTTACTAGAGATAAGTGGAACAAGCTTGGACTTGTAGAGACATGCCATGGCAGTATGGCTAGAAAATCCACTATTAAAAATGTCGACAACTCTAGACCTTTTTTTTTAAGGAAAGCAAAACACACCTTTCCTCTTCAAATTTGTTCTGTTTCCTTGTACTTTCAATTCAATACCCAAATCAAAGCATCCCTCCTGCAAGGTTCTCATAAAGCAAATAAGGGAGCATGAATACAAGATGCAACCAAAAAACTATCTCATCTCTACAAGTCTACAATACGCAAGTCCAAGGCTCAATTCCACTATCACCTAAACCAATCCGGCAATAACCATCACTATCACTGGACTGTGGACTGTCAATTGTCAAATAGCTTTGCATGCCCAAAACTCATAAATTGGGAACAAGTTATAAGCCCATTGCAAGTCAAATGGCTCTTACCATTTCAAAGGCAAACATGGTTTATATTTTCTTTTGATTCTTTTAATACTCTGAACTACTTGGGCACACCAAAATTCTTCCGAGTGATTGACATGCTTCAAGGTTTCAAGAAACAGAAACCTGACAGTGAAAATAGGACCAATCATCTGCAAATCCTCCTCCTTTTGCGTGCTGATGAACTCTCATTGTATACTGTAGCTCCAGCACTTATGTCCTCACTTTGTTGGCTTTCACATGCAACTACACCCAGCACACCTGTGGGGCTGTGCTGCTTGGGGAAAACTGAAGAGCCATCTGACTTGATAACAATGTCTCCCATAACAATCTTGTCTTGAACCATTTCATAGCATCCTAATACTCTTTCCTACAATGTATTGAGTGACATAAACAAATTTAGCAAGTACCAAAGTATAGATTGCTATAAATCAAGGCATAAGCTAACTGCTTTAATAAGGTACTGAGTTTCTATAATCCAATTCATTTCTGGAATCTGGATTGCGGTGATGTGTATGCAATACCTTTCTTAATTCTTTGCGACAAGTTGCCACACTCTCAAGTACTGAACTGTCATGTTTCCCCAACGCCACAAGAGCTATACTTGCAGCAATCTCTGATGGTCTGAAAACCAAGAACTCAGCAACTGTACACCAAAATCCCCATCTTTAGGAATCAGTCATCACATTCTACTAATTTAGTGCAGAAAGGGTACACACACTTGTACTTAGAAGTTAGAATCATACCTTTAGATGTGCTCAAGATAAGTTCAACCGCGCGAGAAAGTATGATTTCGGACACGACATCACCGTCACTGAATTTGTGAAGATAGTAGTCAATAAATGAGCAAGGAGTCACAGCTTGCATCCTCCAACTCAAGGTATTGAGCACTAAAATCTCCATTCTGTGTATGGTATTACGCTCAAACACATACTCCGCATCCACCACCTATCAAACCATTGGCTTCAACTACTTTAGAAATACATGTTTCACACAATATGCACGGATCTAGTTTCATGAAGTGTGACGATCTATAATTGAACTTGCCTGCAAGTCTAAGGGGTTTAAGACAATTGTTTCCTCCATTTTTGCAGCCAAGGACAGGCAAGCCACTGTTAAGAGTTGTGTCATCCAATCTTTCTCTAGCTGCAATAAAAAAGCAGTTGCACCATGACTTGGTATTCATCTCGGCACAATCAATAAATCCAGACGGCAAGAAATGCATGTGAAGCACGAAGCTGAGAAAGTCCTTACAGCATTATGGTACACAGAGAGAAATCGGTCCATGTAGTTCACTGACAGGACCACCGTCAAAGGCCCCAACTTGTAATAGTCATGGACCTGTACATCACTCGTTGCAAACAACGGATTCGATTAATCACCAAGCTAAAATAATACGACGAATGGCAGGTAATAAATCAGGAACAAGAGGACCACAAAAAGCGACAAAGATGACATTTTTTTTACCAAGACTCTCCACAGCACAACTCATCCTGAACACACAGATCAGTGAAAGGATCAGGAGAGAAACTCACCTTACAAATCCAATCAATGGCGGAGTTCCTGATGGCCACCAAATCCGACCCGCCCGGCTGCTGCGCCTGCTGCAGCAGAAGCTCAGCGTAGCCCTCCATGGGCAGGTGATCCTCCTCCCTCCCAAGGAACGCCTCAATGCAGCTCTCTGACTGCAGGGGGAAGTCAATCGACAAGGCCTCTGAAGGAGCGTTGGCATGGCGCGGCGGCGGCCGAAGAACACACGAAATCCCTTCTCTTTCCTCCTCCTCAAGGTCGAAAATGGCGGTACTGTCCTCTGAACAGAGGAGCACGGATGCAGCAAAGTCGAATCTGGGCGTCATTCTAGTACTTCCAAGAACCACACACTACTAGGCACGAGCAGAATGCAGCAGGATTGGTTGGAAATCTTGCACCAGTTATTTGTGGCATATCATTCCGTTCCAGTTTGCATCGCCTCCTTCTCTCTCTCTCTTAACAAGGAATCTCCCTATTAGCTTCTGTTCTTCGTAGACGAGAACGAGAGCAAGAAGACGATGGGGAAGAAGGCCAGAAGGGGAGGACTGGAGGAGGCTACTGCAGGAACTAGGGAGAGGCGGGTTTTGCTTAGACCTGACCATTTTATGGGCTCAAGGTAGGAAAAAAAAAACTTAGCTATTTAGGGGTAAAAAAATCTTATCTACTCACTCAATCCACGAGATAATGCAATTCTCGTATTTTAAAGAATCAAGCAGTTTAAACTTTAAAAAAAATTATATAAAGTTATTAACATTCATGAAACAAAATTAGTACTATTAGATTAGTTATAGAATATATTTTTATAATAAATTTATATATAGACATAAATACTAATACTATTTGCTATAAATTTGATTAAACTTAAATCAGTGTGCGAGCAGAAATAAGAAAAGTGCAAGGTGTAAGACCAAGGAAATCTTGGAGTGTTGTTTTGTTTTGTATTCTGCCAAGCATAAATTGCACCCGTCATATAAAACTTGTATGGTTTTATCACTTTGATCCAACTTGTAAAATCTGCAAGCAAATACATAAACTTACCAAATATATGCATCTACAGCTACATGTACACAAAATAGTGTATGTTTGTCTCTGTAACAGGTGGTGTGGATGGTTTTATGCACGTCAACCCTACCTTTCTTCCGCTTTCTCATTTGTATTTATATACATATACGAGCACACATTGGTTTTCTTTCTTTGTGGCAATCGACTTCTATCCCTTCAAAACATCGTTGCTTGGAGGCGGAGGGCCCGATTATGATTCATAATTGTTCTTCTATTTTTATTCACACTTTCTATTTTGACGTATCGACGACCTTCAATTCATTGTCTTCTGCAGGGTGTTGCGAACTCAGGAATGTACATTTCTCATTTAGGAAAGAAATTCTTGGATCGGATGTACATCTAGTAGGTATGTTGCATGCATTCAATGTAGCTCCAAACCTTTTGCCTTTCATATGCATGTGCATTGATGGCATTTTTATCTAATTCTATGCATCTATTTAATTATCTAGTGAATGACACTCTGGAGTGCCACAATCCTTGGATGTGCATTGATGAGTTACGAAGCACCAAAAATCTAAGGCTGGCACAGTTGAATCTTCAACCTCTATTTTGATCTAAATTAATTAGTGTATTGTAATGTTTACAATATAGTGCATATGTTTGAGGTGAACCTATTCGTGGCGTTCACCCTCCTTGCTTTAAGAACAACACATCCTAGATAAAGTATGCTAGTGTAGATGTCACGATTTAATTTCTTATTAGTCATGCTGCATAGGTAGAACTCGAGAGGTGGCAAGGTCACTACCACTCGTGAGCTTATAGGAATGCTTTGTTAACTAGAACTTGTAGTTGAGAAAGATCTAAAAGGTGAGCAAGTATGAACGTTTACTCAAGACTTGAGCAAGTGGTAGGGCCATGTTGGGAGTGGTATCCAAACGGCATAGGCTCACTTGGGTAGATTAAGGACCGACGACGATGAGTCATTGCTTTCATATATGAGCACATTTCCCTGCAAACCACATGTCTGTTGATGGGAATGATAAGCTGAGTACCATGTTGTGCCAGTTCACCCTAAGAATTTGGTGCGTCTTGGGGCAAGGAGTAGTTGAGTAACATGCCGGTATCCCTAACCATTACGACCGTTCATTGGGCGTCTTATCCCAGCATGAGAAAGGTTGGAGGCATGAGTTACCCGTTACATACTGGTGGGTCGTATGGACGGTGGCTTTGCTTCAGTGTTGGAAAAGTTGTACACCCATATAGGGTTTTGAATCAATTCGAATTGTCACGCTCTCGGTTATGAGCACACTCTCTTACTTTTTACTTCAATAGTAGAGTCTCGAAATCGGGCTTATGGAAGATTGAGCTCATGTTACACGATCACTTTATTTATGCAAATGCTTGATAATTTAACTGTAAGTCGTCGATGCCATGTCATTTATTTATTACCACTTCATCAAAATCTTTTGCATATTATATTGGTTCACTCAAAATTATTAAGCCTTGTGCATCCACCAAAACTTAGTGTTGGATACGTCCTACAAGTATCATTGTACTTACGGTACTGCTGCTAAGTTGTTTTGCAAATGCCTAAAGGGTGATGTTACCATGTTGTTCCATCGGGGTCCGCAAAGTGAATGCATGGTTGGAGCCCATCCAAATTATGGTGGTGACGCCCCGAGGGCAAAAGTGCTTACTTTATTGTTATGTCTAGTATTATTGTGTTGCGTATTAGTAAGTTTAAGCCTAGGGGAATCTAGGATGGTCATCTAGCTCAACTAATAGCATCTAATGTTATCATCTTCACATGTAGATATACCATGTATAGATCTTTATAAGATTGTGGATTTAATTTGAGAACCTATAATATGAGCAAGACTTGTAATTAAACATTTAAAACTTGCTCTCATATGTATCCTTATAATGGTTGCCATGATATGCATGTGGACCTAGATGATTTTTTGGGACACATACTAAAGATTTCTGGGGTTAATTTTTTCAAACTCGACTAAATCTATCATGTAAAGAGGGACATTGATATGTATTCATAATTCAATAATTAAACAAAGGTTCATTCATTCATTCATTCTTATTCACCATTATTTTAAGGCATGCATCCCTAGTCCACTCTGTCATCTACAGGGCAGTTCATTTGAGTCGTTCATCATCAGCAGCAGCAACAAGTTGTATTAGCTAGGTTCTTGCTAGGTCAACAGCAGGCCACACCGTGTAAGTGTGAAACCCAGCTCCGTGACAACACGTACGGAGGCCAAACTCCAAGGTGAAAGATGGAGATAGTGGTTGCGCCTCCATAGCGGCCAGCGCTGACAGAGTGGCAGACCGCCGTTTGCTGGTCCCGTGGTGTGGTGATGCACTCGGACTCGCTATATTGCCCATAATAGTATGCCCAAAGGGAAAACAAAAGCCATAATACACATTACTAGAGAATGTCTCCAAGCATGCAACCTACATTCACTCTAGAGTGTCCTTTGTCTTCTCAATCATCCTTTGCAACATATATCGATCGGTCACCAAGTATTAGGGCCAAGTCACATGTAGCCTTCCACATTGTGACTAACTCAATTGCATTCATTACTGCACACATTAATCAGAATACTTGTGCTCATCAATCACCAAAACCCCATAATCACCACAATGGGGCCTAGATGCAGTCACCTATGATCTAGATGGGGGCAACATATTGTGTCATCCAAGAAAATGACCAACAACCAATGTTCCAACACAAGTATTCTGCTGAACTTGTGGGATTCTTAAATCTAACTTGTTATTTTGTCAGTAGTCTGTAGGCTTCTCAACCTTTTATTTTTAAATAAGAAAAATGCACCTCAATGTAACTAGCCACTATGCCAGTAGCGTCCGTTGACTTTTTAAACTTTTTTTTTTGAAATAAAACACATTTCAATGTAACATGTTCTTTTGTCGGTAGCATTTTATTTGGCCCGATGTAGCTACCATCACCATACTGTTTAGCTCTCGAATCCCATCCACTATTGAAAATATTCCATGTCTTCCCAATATACTGGTAGGACAACTTACCTTCTGTGCCATCGTGATGATAATTTGTTTGAGCTCCATATATTATTGCTGCTATGTTTGTTATTCTCAATGAAGAAAATCCAATTTTTCTATAACCATCTAACAAAAGAAAGAGAAGATACATGTGTTCTATATGTTTCTGCATGTGTTCCACTTGCCACTGATGCTGGATGAAGGAAGCCAAATGCCATATGTAGGTAGATAAATCAAAACATGGGTATCTCAAGGAAATTTAAAAATATTAAATGAAATGGATCTTAAAAGAAATGAAATAAAATTAATAAAAATGTTAGATGAAATATTTAGGCAAAACAACACCTACACATATAGTGATATGTGTTGATCTTGGCAACTGTTATATATAATTATTTCATTTAGTCATCCATGTTTGTTTTAGTTTACCTACGTATGACATGTCGCTTTCTTTGTCCACTATCAGTGGCAAGTGGTACACATGCAGAAACACATATGACACATATAATTCCTCTTTCTTTATTAGATGATTATAAATAAAATAGATTTTGTTCATTGAGAATAACAAACACACATCAACAATGTCTAGAGCTCAATCAAACAATCACCATGATGACCCTGAAGGTAAGCTTTCCTATTGGTATATATTAGGAGGATGAGGAATACCATCAGTAGTGGTTGAGATTCAAAAACTAAGCAATATGTCGTGGGTAGTTAGATTGGGCAAGATAAACGACACAAACAAAAGAATGGCTTAGGTTGAGAAGCCTTAAAAAAAGGTTTGACAAGACCACAAGCGCTTCTAACAAAATAATTATTTAGATTGAGGTACCTTTTTCTTTCAACAAAAAGGATTTGAAATTGAAGCACAATGATAATGACAAAATGGCAAGTAAGATTAACAAGCCCATAGGTTTACAACACCACCTGGGTTCGAGCATTGGTCGTTGTTGGTCATTTTCTTGGACGAAGAAGCCTCCATGATCTGTTTATCGGCTCCCATCTAGATTAGAGGTTTGAAGTTTGATACAAAACTCATTAGAATTAGTAGTATGATCTTTGTTTCTTTGGTAGTCAAAAGCAACGTAGAATGGGATGCCAAACCACTAAGATCATAATTTGTAGTAGTCATAAAATGGATGCAACTATTAAGAAAATAAGATGTAGTTTGCAAGTTGGCCGGGCAAGAATAGAATCAGGATGAAATAATTGTGTGTCACATGAAAGGTGGATATTTTCTTAAAGTCAAAGCAAAAATTGTAATATATATGTTACAAGTCTTCAACATAGAATA